ACTGACACAGCTCAATCACTTTTTAATGGTGGGTTTTTAGAAGACTTTTATAAAACATCAAAAGTTGTTCAACCATTAAACAATCTATTAAGTGAAATAATTTTAGAAACTATCAAACCAATTGTTAACGAACCAATTGTATTCAGAATATTAGAATTCGGAGGAGGTGTAGGCTCATTATCAATACTTGTACTCGAAAAGATTAATAAACTATTAATCGACAATCCATCATCAAACATTGACATTGAGTTTACTTGGAGTGATATTTCCGCATCATTTTTTACTGACATCAAAGAAAAGTTTTCAAATATCAAAGGAATCAATATTATTTATCGTGTTCTAGATTTAGAAAAACATCTCATTGATCAAGAATTAAGACAATCGTATTATGATATGGTTATAATGTCAAATGTATTACATGTTGTAAAACAACTTAAATTCAGTTTAAATGAAATTCATAACATTTTAACTCCAAACGGTCAATTAATTTATATTGAGCCACCATATAAATCAATTATATATGATTCTATATTCGGTGTATTCTCTCAATGGTGGCCATCAACAGAAGATTTAGAAATTAGAAAAGATAGATGTTGTATGAAACAATCAAGTTGGTACAAATTATTGGATGAATGTAATTACAAAGACACAATAATGTCTGGTAATGATAACCTTGTATTTTTAATTCAAACAAGAAAACCAACAATAAATGAAACAGTTTTATCAAATACAGAATCAATGGAACAATTGACATCATACAATAACATTATATTATTTGGAAACAGTGATAATTACAAAATCAACCAATTATTTAAATCAAATAGCCAATTTAACACCAAAATACATCAAATGAACAGTTTCAAAGATTTTAAACATTGGCTTCAACAATCAATCGATTCAATTAAACAATGTAAAACATTAATAATGTTTATGAAAACAATCGATACATTAGATATAACCAACTTTAAAGAGATAACATTCGAATACATTCAAATTAATCAAAGCATACTCCAACATGAACTATCATATTACTTTACACATGCTCTAGTATCAGTAAACTCAACATCTGATAATTATTTATCATCATCAATCGTTGGTGCTGCAAGATATTTTGTAGAATTTCCACAATTAAATCTATTCACATTAAACTTTGATAATATTTCACTTCAAAATGATAACATACTATCACTTATCGATATATTAATAAATCCAACATCAAATATTCAAAGGGAATTTACAATTACAAATAACACAGTTTATTATGAAAGATATAAAAAACAGACCAAATTTAAACAAACATTTAAATCTGAATCATTCGAAACAAATAAAGACAACTTAATGGTTCAACTTGATCCAAATTTAGAATATGTATTAAAAACTAAAAAACAACAATTAAAACCAAATGAAATCGAAATCGAAGTTAAAGGTACTGGTATCAATTATAAAGACTATTTAATGTATATTGGTCAAATATCAAATAATGTCGATATCAATTATGGTAAAGAAGAAGAGGCTGAAAATGGAAAAAGTCAAATGCCAAATATTGGTAATGACTTTAGTGGTATTATAACTCGTTGTGGAAGCGATGTAAAGAAATTCAAAGTTGGAGACGAAGTATTTGGTACAGCTTCAAAAACTAGTGGATCACATGTCGTTATAGATTACAGATTTGTATATTATAAACCAAATAATATGAACCATGTACAAGCAGCATCTATTCCATCGATTTATGTTACAACATTACATAGTATATTCTATACTGGTAATTTACAATCAGATCAAACAATTTTAATTCACTCAGCAGCAGGTGGTGTCGGTCTATCCTCATTAGAACTTTTAAAATATAAAAAACACAAAGGTTATATATTTTTAACAGTCGGTTCAAAAGATAAAGAACAATACTTAATAGACAAATATGGCTCATTTATTACTGGTATTTATTCATCAAGAAATAAAAACTATGTTGAACAAATTAAAAATAAATTATTAGAACTAGAATGTGATAAAGATCATCAAGGTGTAGATTTAATATTAAATACATTATCATCAGAATATATGGATTCAAACTTTGAATGTTTAAATATTTCTGGTAGAATTGTAGATCTTTCAATTACACATTTAACACCAAATGATTATATGACAAACAATCACTTTAAATACAACTATGGATATCATAATGTAGAACTTGTAGAGTTTTCAGGATCATTATTTAGAAATTATTTAAAAAAAATAGTTAAAATGTTCAATTCAAACAAATTAGAACCAATTCCAATCATTGAGTATTCAAATAGTCAATTCAAAAATGCACTTGAATATATCAATCAAAGACAACATATTGGTAAAATCGTAGTTAACCATGATACTGATATGCTATCAAAGGTATTCAATGAACAACAACAAAATGATTCAATTATAATGAAGAGTAGTTATGATATATCAAGATTAGATATTGGTAAAAACGTATTAGTAACAGGTCAAACAGGTATTATATTAGAAATAATGAAATGGCTTGTTAAATATTCAAACAAATCAATCGATAATATTATAATTCTATCAAGATCACCATTAAAATGGGAATTAGAACTATTAATCAATCAAACTAAACATCAAAAAGATAATACAATCAAATTCCACTTTAATCAAATCGATATTGAAGATAGCAACGAAATTCAAAAAGTACTAAACCAACTAGAGTCCAATTCAAACATTACAAATATCGATACAGTAATGCATTTTGCATTTGTAAACGATATTGGTGATGTTCAAGATGTCGATATGAATCGTGTAAATATCGCACATGGTGCAAAAACAATTGGTGCAATCAATTTACACAATGAATCAATTCAACGTTCATGGAAATTAAAACAATTTATAATAGCATCATCAGTTGTATCAATATTTGGTTCAGATCAACAATGTTGTTATGTTAGCGCCTGTAGTGTCGTTGACTCGTTATCGAAATACAGACAGTCCATTGGATTACCATCACTATCAGTTAATTTAGGTGCAATATCTTCAACTGGTTTTGTTTCAAGAAATGATGCAATCGAAACAATGTTCCATAGCTCATTATTAAAACTATTTTCACCACAATTGATTTTAAGCTCATTAGATTTATTCATTCAAAATAGTAGCAAATATTCAAATTATTGTTTATCAGATTTCGATTTTGAAAACTTACAATCAAATAATTCAAACAATTACCTTTCTAAACTTGATTATCAAATAAATATGATTAGAAAAACAAACAAATCAATCAATTCAATAAGTGGTGATAGTGATGAAAGCATGAAACAATCAATTATAAATAAGATTTCTGAACTATTATCAATAGATGAATCCAAAATAAATCTAGATCTCCAACTTACACAATATGGATCTGATAGCTTAATGCAAGTTCAATTAAAAAACTGGATTGATAATCAATTTGGTCTTAATTTAATTACAATTCAACAACTACAAAACAATAAAATTTCACAATCAATAGATATTATTACCAAAACATTCAAAAATAAAAATAATAATACAAAGAAAGAATCAATAGTAGACAGAGAGAATAAAAAATCAATTGAAGAATTTATTCAAGATGAAATTAAATTAGAAGATTCAATATTATCAAAACCATTTTCAATGGAATCAATATTAAATAATAATAATAAATCAATATTATTAACAGGTTCAAATGGATTTCTTGGTGGATATTTATTAAATTATTTGGTTCAAATGCAAAGCTGTTCAAAAGTATACTGTTTAATAAGAAATAAATCAAATTCACCAAACCCAGTAAATGAAATTATAGATAATCTTAAACACCATCAACTATATGATAGTCTAACTCAACAACAACTATCAAAGATTATTGCAATCACAGGTGATATTTCAAAATATAGATTTGGACTTTCAAATGAAATATATACAATACTTTCAAACGAAGTAGATATCATAATAAACTCAGCAGCTGATCTAAATTTACAATCAAACTACCAAGAAAGTAAACCTGTAAATGTCAATGGTGTTAAAGAACTAATTAAATTCTCAGTATCAAACGAAACACAAAAACCAATTGTCCATTTTTCATCATTCTCAGTATTCTTTAATCAGCCATTAAATGGTGAAGAGTTTGATGAAGATAAAATATTACCAAGATTTGAAAGTACATCAATAGGATATATGCAAACAAAAGTAATCTCAGAACGTCTATTAACATATGCCGAAAAATCAAGAGGTATTCCATCATTAACAATTCGTTTACCAGATATCTGGTCAAATCCTGAAACCGGTATAGGTCATCCAAACGACGTTCTCCACCTATCGATTCAAGTTTCAAGTGTTATTGGATATTATCCAAATATATATAAAGACTTGTTTACTACACCTATTACAGTTTTAGCTCGAAACATAATAAATATAATATTTAATGAGAAGAGTTGGGTAAATTCAAATTCAAATTTAAACTCAAATTCAATTTACTCCTTAAATGGTGATTCGATTGAAATTAAAACAATATATAAAGTATTAGAGAAATACTATAATTGTGAAGAAATAGAATTTGAAAAATGGCAAGAGATAGTTTCACAATCAAATCATAAATCATGTATCAAATATAATATACATCACAATCAAAACAAAAAAACTTTTGCTTCAGATATTTTCGTTGAAAAAGGTTTCAAAATGTCAAATAAAACCAAACAATTATTAAAATCTATTGGTTCATATGATGAAAAAGATTGGGAAATTAATGATCAAACAATTATAAATAATATAAATCATAATATTTCCAAATAAATAATAATTTTAATTATTTTTATTAAAAATGAACCACAGAATGGGGATTTTTTTATCTTTTTTATTAATTTGTTATTTTACCCCTAAATTAAAGAAAAAAATTTTTAATTTGCAAAATGTTTTTTTTTATTTTTTTTTTTTTATTTTTTTTTAATTTTTTTTTATTTTTTTTTTATTGTGTATATATTATTTTTTTTTTATTCTATATATATAAAATGTGTGTACATGATAATTTCCATATTTCTGATTGTAATTCATTCAACACCTATATTTTTGGAGAGCTATGTCGTGATTTTGAAGGTTTTCCTAATATTGGAAAAAACTGTACCAAACATTGCAAAAAAAAAATGGCTAAAATAGTAGAGATTACAATGAAGCAATTTACAGATATTGCTATAAATTATTATAAGGATTCCAAATTGGGAAAAGAATCATCCGCCTATTCATATATTTTGTATTGCAGAGGACCAAGAGATGATGATGAAGAAGTTGAAGAAACATGTAATGTTAAAATTGTTAACGGAAAAGTTATTCACACAAACCCCACAGAATCTGAAGATTCTGAAGATTCTGAATCAGAAGAAGAATCCGAAGAATCTGAAGAATCTGAAGAATCTGAAGAATCTGAAGAATCTGAAGAAGAAAAAACTAAATAAATTTTTTCATTTCCTTTTCTCTAATTTAATTTATTATTTAAATTGAAGAAAAAAAAATATTAAAAATGAAAAATAATAAAATAATTAAAATAAAAAAAAATATAAATAAAATAAAAAAGAAATAGTTATTTAGAAACTTATTGTGAATATTTATTTTTTTAATTTACAAATAAAAAGTAATAAGAAACATATGTTTTTTTTTAAATAATAATATTTTATTAAATTTTTATTTGTTATTTGATTAAAAATAAATAAAAAAAAAAAAAAAAAAAAAAAAAAAAAAAAAAAAATTAAAACCACACAATGCGGTTGAGGTTCACACTCTTTTTATAATTTCTTTATTATAAAATTGATAATGTATATGACACATTTTCAATGACAAATAAAACATGATATATTTTTCAATTTTTTTAAAAAAAAAAAAAAAACATAATTTTTTATAATTGTTATAATAAAATAGTTTTGATTTTGTTGATTTTTAAAAAAGGGTTTTATAATTTGAAATTATAAAAAAAACACTGGAAACTATACAAGTGAATATCGAATTTATTTGGTGTATCAAACAAAATAACTTGTCGAAAATGAATCAATTATAATCGAAGAATATTTCTAAATATCATTGGCATTCAGAGATTATAAAAAAGAAAACTATATGGAAGAAATGGTCCAGGATTATTTATATATGAAGAGCAGATGACAGATTGAAGAAGCAGATGAAATCATCTCCTCAACATTTTGTTTTAGCTATCAACAGATTTTTCAAGAGAATCAAAATCAATTTCAAAATTATTAAATAATGCAGACTATCCATTAGGTGTTAATACACCAAATAATTATAATAATAGTGATAGTAATACTAATAACAATAATACTGATAACCAATATAAACCAAAATATTAAAACTATTCACTAATCAACAATAATGCACAGCAGCAGATCCCCAAACCAACAAGAAGAAGCTTCAAAGTAAATAGATAGTTAGATAGTAAAGATAATATAATATATCCATTATATATTTATATTCTAAAAAGGCAAAATATTACTATTAATTAACACAATATTAATAACAAATACCTAAACCCTGGTTGTTGCTATTGTAATTAATAATCTCATTAAAGATAATGAACCAAATAATGTAATTTATTAATTTTACTTGAATTATTTATTTTTAAATTGTTTATTTATAGTTTATATTTAAATATAAAAATCTATTTAGACATTCTGATTTTTTAAATATTTGTTTTTTTTTTTATATATCACAATATATCCCTACTATACTTCCACTTTTCAATGGTTAATTAAACACCCTCAACTTTTTATAAATCTATTGTTGTTATTTCATTTTTAATTGGGCAAGCTATAAATTAAAAATGGTTCTTCTTTTTGATCAATTATAAAATAAAATAAACACAGGAATTCCGAATTATTTTAAATTTATTTTTTTTTTTTTTTTTTTGTTTAATTTTAAAAAAATATAAATTTATAATTTTTTTTAAATAATAGATAATAATAATAATAATAATACTAATAAAAAAATGAAAAATATTTATTATACAAAACTATTTTTTATATTTTTAATTTTAAATTCTCTAAATTTTATGAAAAATGTTTCTGGTCAAGATAAATTACCAATAATACTAAGATGTGATAATTATAAATTTAGCTCAAAGAGTTATGGTTCTATAAGAATTTACTCTAAACCCCTCAATGGTATTATTAATGGCTACATTTGTTTTTCAGAATTCCCAAGTTATAAAACTACTCTTTTTAATATATACTATCCAACAAAAATCAATATTACAAATAAAGAATTTTATACAGATGATGACAGTGGCACAATTTATTTATCTCAAAAGTTTTATAATGGAACAATTTCATTTGAATCAGCCCAATTAATATATAATAATAATTTAATAATATCATTAATGAACCCCACATTATTAAAAGAATAGTATCATATTATAAATAAATAATACTACTTATATAAAAATATATTAAAATAATAATAAAAATAATTAAAAAAACATTGTTAAATTCTATTTCTATTTAAATTATTTAATAAAGATTAAAAAAATTCATTTTATATGAATTGTTTAATTTTTTATTTTAAAATTGCTTTATTCTAATATACTAAAAGGGATCAAAAAAAATTCCCTTATAAGTGAATATCTAAAAAGTGTAAATATGAGATACTTTAAACAATTAGATGTTCACCTAATAAAAAATTTTTTTTCCTTTTTTTTATTTTTTTTTTTTTTCTTTAATTTTTTTTTTTTTTGTATTAAATTTATACATATAAGTTTAAACCCCTAAAAAAATAAAAAACGAAAATAGAATTACTTTATTTGATATGGTATATAATAATACTGAAAATAGTATGGGGTTTCTTTTTTTAAAGTGGTTTACCACACCACATATAAAAATGTTTATATTGATGAATTTTTATATAATTTTTTATACCCACACCCTATATAAACTACTCACACCGATAATTATACATTTATTTAGTATTGTCTCCTAGTACAAAAAAATTTTTAATTTAATTTATTTTAAAAAAAATTTTCAAAATTATTTTTTGTAATAAATTTAAATAGGATTTTTATAACATTAATTTTCAAATTAATATTTTATTTCATTGGATAATAATTGTAATATAATTATTATTCTCTATCAATATTTTTTTTTAAA